TTTCGCATTCGAAGAGTTATTGTCCGCGACATTGTGACGCGGCCATTTTCAAACTTTTTTTTCGAAAAAGATTTTTAAAACTTTTATAATACATGTTTTCAAGAAAGCGCAATGTGTAAGTTGTAGCTCTTGATGAGCTCTATCACCACATGCAATCCTATCATTTTTTCTTCCTTTCCATCCGAAACTGAGCGATGAAAAAAGGAAGGCGGCTTGTCCGCAACTTTTTGGCGGTCTCTGTATGTGTGTATTTTAGCAAGCCGAAATATTAAGTGCCTTCTCTTGTAAGTGCAGGAAGCAAAGCTGATATTCAATTTTTTGTCGATGTGTTTTTCTGCTGAGGAGAACGTGGTAGTTAGCATTCTAAAAGTTTTTGTGATTCATATTGCACTGGGATTTCGGGCTATTCCTTAGCATATATCTACAAGGTGCTCCAATTGCCGGCTCCTATGTTCTTGGCTTGAAGGATAAAAGACGTTCTTGGCAAAGGATCGAGCATCTGATCTCACCGACCATAATTATGATAACGCAATAGTCAAATTGGAATTCGCTTACACTATCATTTGAAAAAAACTCAGTTTCTCTCGTCTTCATGTACATTTTTGTAGGCTTTAGCTAAGATATGTGATATAGAGTGAAACATCGATCTTTCCTCACTGTAAAAGCGGTTAGTACCTTAAAAAAGTTTCGCATTATTGAGAAGGTCTCGTCGCGTTTGAGTTTTTTAAGAAGGCCATGCATGTTTAAATATGTGAGCTCAATTTTGCCTACTTCGGAACAGCATAACCCCATTATGATTGCGAAAAAATACTGCAAAATATTCGGGACAAAGAGATTCGAGTAAAAGAATTTCGATCGAATCTACTTGAGCTTTGGGTTTAAAAAAATACGCATATGGTCTTTTCAATATTCAAATACCTGAATGAATCTTTCCAACAATCATGTATTCAAGAAATTTATCTGCTTCAGAAAAAACTTCATACCAAGGCATGTTGTCTAATTCTTACACTGTTTATTTCTACTCTTCCTAGAGAGACGAAGTTCTAGGGTGGAGCTAAAGGTTTGCATGGAGGATTTGCATGGCAAACTTAGTAAGAATCACTTGGTGTATAAGATCAGTGAAAGATAACGACCGTGTAAATATGCGCATGCAAGCAAATTTGCTGTCAATTGTACCTAGGAGAAACATCCGCTTTATCAACCAACGAAGTAAAGGCAATCTGAATCAAGTCTAAATTTCTACGTGCTCGAAGACTTTTCCAAATAGTCAGAGACGGACGTGGGAACGCCCTATCACATTATACTCAATCTTAGTTACTTCGTAGTCAGTCTAATAAACAGGTGACCATACAGGGTATTTCAAAAAATGTGCCTACTGTTTAGAGATTATTAATTCCCTTGTCATGGACTCTTTCGAGAAGCTTGTACCATTTTTGTAAAGCTGGCTTCAGCTTAGATTTATAACACAGAACAAATTACCGGATCCCTCTTCATCACCGTAGAGTTACGGTATGAACTAGCAGCATACGGCGTCACAGCGAGATGGCCGTTCAAAAAAAGTTCTTCAAAGAAATTCCGAAAAATCGTGTAACAAGCTTTCCGTGCATGCTGATTCTAAACTGTTTACGCGTTCGGAGAGCTTTTTTATTCACGTAATAAATTTTGACAAATATCAGAAATCGGATATAAGGTGCATTTGACATGACTTACGGCAAAAATATTACTGCGAAATGCAATTTTTGTATTTACTATGACCAACTTCAACAACCTAGTGTGCAAGTTTTCAACTTTTCAAAACCCTCTTTAGGGGTAAAATATGTCCCTTGCTGAGGCGAAACCCTCCGCAAAGTTGTTAACGTAATAATACACTAATGTAGAGGGATTTTTGGTTCGCACCATACTATAAATCTAAGTTAAGCCAGCTCTACAAAAAGATACCTAAAGCTTCTCAAAAGACTTTATAATCAGAGAGTTATCGACAACCAAACAATAGGCACATTTTTTGGGACACTCTGTATATTCGAAAAATTTTTGGCAAATATTGATGCAGCTTAATAAGTATATCTTATTCAATTTGACGAGTTCGCAGGCACTCGCTGAGGACAAGCGGACATCAAAAAATAAGATGGCCAATTCTTCCACATTCCGCTCTCAGAATGTTAGAGTACTTACCATGAGCCTTACCATGAGTATGGTCGCTTGTTGATTTTTTATCTCAGCAAAAAGACATCAACCTGTCTCTAAAAAATAAAAGGAAGAGAGGAAACAACGGACGGCATCGGGCAAATTTTGGTTTTCAAAATCTGCGAGCGGACCGCGAACAGTCAACACTTTCTAAAGGCCTCTACCCCTGGCGATTGTCTGAGTTGTTTGTGCTTCATCTTCATCCTCCCAAGCTTATAGTGAGCATACTCATTAACAACACTATGCTTCAAAAATGAGTTCCTTTCACGAAATTTGAACAGGTCAAAATTAGTGATTGTTATTTTCCCCATTTTAACTTGTGGCATGGCCTGTGGAACATACATTTAGTGTTTAACGCAAAGAACAGTAACAGTTAACAGTTTATTCGTCATGATCATGACCAGCGCTACATGAATGAAATGCAGCTTGTCCTGATGACTGTAATGAAACCAATTAGGCATTTAAGGCTGTCACCTATGATTGTGTTGAAATTATCAGAGCGCTCCTAGCGAGCACGGAAGCTAATGTATGTATATACATAAACTCACTTTAGACAAGATGCGTTCGTAACAAGACCTGAGTCTCGGCAGTACGCATCTTCTTCTTTTTGTTCTACAATGCGTAAAAACAAACAGTATCAGACAGTATTTGATAATGCATTTTTACCTTATTGCCTCCTTTTTTGCCCTTTTTGCCCTTTGGCTTCTTGAGCTTCTTCTTTTGATGCTTCTTGTTCTTCTTTCCTTTTCCTTTATTCGCTGCTCCCTTCTTCTTCTTCTTCTTCTGCTTCTTCTTCTTTTTTTGCACGGCCTTCGGAGGTGTTGATGGTCTGGCAGGTGATGCTGGCGCTGACGTTGTTTCTGCTGGCGCTACCGTTGGCTGCAATGCCCCTCTTCTTTTTATCCTCCTGAGCCATGAATATTTGGAGATATGAAAGTTGTAATGGTCAAGTATCTTTACGCAAGTTCAAATTTGATCTCTCGTGCTACATCAGGCTCGCAAGTAAATTCTCGTCCAGACAATGTCTCATCTGTCCGATGTCTTCATCAAAAACCGACATCGGGTTGACAACCGCTATCATTTATGTTGGCGGATAACTTCTGTTACACTTTTTTCGTAAAAATCTGAAAAATTGCAGAAGCTTTTTACGATCTTCAAGTTTGGTTTTCTTTAATTTTCAAATCTATTATGACGCCTAAGCGTTATAGTAGATTTTTGATCTAATCAGCTTAAGTACAAACAGCTTAAAGTTTGGTTAATTTTAAAAATCGTGACGACGAGTTGACTGCTCAATCCGCACACAGAACGATAGCACACCAGTCCAAACAGTCAATACCTCAATGCTAAGCTCAGGCACTTCCAGTGCCTGAATACTATCATATGTAAGCAGAAAAATTATTCAAGTAGAGATAGAAACCAAGAAGTGGGAGTGCGTGCGTGTTGCGAGCGGTCGCGCCATCGTCACGATTCTTCGAATGCCCTATACTCACATTCATTAAATGCGTAAGGATATATGACCATCGCAAACGGTGTTAAAAATACGCAGCAAGTTGAAAACGTGATTATGGTTAAGACTCACCGCCGCGCCAGGTTGTCCTGGAGTGCCCGGCGACTCTTCTTTCTGAAATGCATAACTGACAATTATATTATTGAATGTGTAGGAAACTATGACCAAAATCGCAATACGCAACAAATTTACATAACGAAAATAAGGCTCACCTCATCAGTTTCTTCGTTCGCTCCAGTTTTTCTGGCTAGAATTTTGAAACAATGCAAAGCTAACTACCCTAATTTTACGCGTACAAGGCGCGCGGGGTTTACTTCCAAAATCGACCACCTCAAACACGTCAAAGATTTCGGAACTAAAGGATCCTATACCCTCTACATTGCTGGAGAACTTTGCGAAATAAGGATCGCTTTCTGAAGTGCAGTGAAGCGGCGGAGTGGCATGTTTAAGAGATTCGAAAGGTGCGCCGTGGAATTAGAGTAATTAATTTTTCAGAATTGTTTATCTAAATTACTGTTTCTATTCCAAATTTTCCTACAATGCAAGATTGTAACGAACAAAAGTTGTGGACGTTTTTTTGATTTCAACGTATACAAATAGATTTATCTCAACTCAAGGCACCTAATATATGTACACTAAAATCTTACAGATAAGTCCGCTTTATAGACAAATCGATGAAAATATACCCTCGTACAGCCAAAAGTCTTGCATTATAAGTCCATCTACAGATAAGTCCGGACTTATCTGACAGTCTCTGGAGTTATCTGACAAGATTTCAGGGTAATTATAATGGAAAGTAAAGACTTATTGAAGGCGATCTTATCTGTAAGCGAACTTATCTGACGGGAGAACATATCTGTGAGATTGTAAATAATAAAAAATAAAATAAAATTAACACCTTTCGAATCTTACATTCATCCTTTGCATTCACATCGTCTTTTCATTCACTGACGATCGCGCGCTCAATCATCGTATTTACGTCTTTCCAGTAAACAGAAAGCTAATCTATTCAAGAGCATTTATCGTATCGTTTGTGCCCGTCAAATTATTAGTGCAAGGTTAGGACAGTTCCTGCGGTTTATACTCCCAGCGATGATTATTGACTCATTGTCAAATTAGTCAACTCACTGTTCGGAAATAAACAGCAACAATTACCTAAAAGCTTTAAAAAAAGTCAAACAGCTTGGTTTGAAAGTCATTTTCTGTTTTTCTCTGATTTCCAATCAAAAACAGAGCATGACTGTTTCATGCTAAAAAGTAGTCATAGCTGCAATACAACCTCATTGACTAAAGCAGAAAACATACTATCTCATTCTTCTAAAAATCCCCTCTCAAAGTGAATACTTGGTTGAGTTGACCATGTACACTCAGGAAGTGTAGAACAATTTCCAAGCATTCCCACCTCCTTTCCATCTTCCTGCAAAATCAAATTTTATGAATCAGACTCTGCGAGCTTTTCGTCAAAACTCCTTATACCTCTTTCTCCGGTTCTCCTCCTGGTGGAGCAGCCTGTAAATTAATAGTTAAGATCTGTAACCACAGCTGAACGTAGCTCGACTGTTTGATAGTGTCAAATTCAAGGAGTAACAAAAAATTGTTACGAAGGCAACTTTTTTGTACTGAACATCTGTACATCTGTATGAAAGGCATTGTCGAGCTAAGTGCTAACTATATGGGCAACCCTTGGGTTGCGCTAAAATTATGATGTACAATTGAAAGGAATGCATGGGAAGCGAAAAAACAATCAGGCAGTGGAAGTCCCACCGGTAAGTCTTCGTCCTTTTTTTCTTCTTCGACCTCTTCTTCTTCTTCTTCTTCTTCTTCTTCTTCTTTTAGCTCAACCGATCCTGGCTCGTCTGCATACTAAAACAGATTGATTGTTTAAAGATTTGAGATGTGATTGTTCAATTTTACTAATCCTTGCCTGCCGCTAGGACGTTAATCGAGCTGTCTTTGTTTTGTAGTAAATCATATCAGACTAAAAATTTTACTGCTTGCTCAAGAGGAAGAAAAACATAAGATTCCCATTTTATTGTATGCAAGAAGCCTAATTTTGAGTTTTTACAAATCCGTGACCAGTCCAGTACAATAGGAGGTCGCTGATACCAATTGCTTTTTGAGTATAAGACAAAAAATTCTTCGAATGGTACGCAATTTTGTATACTTGATGCACCAAAATCAGTCAAAGTGTCCTGATCTTCCTTACCTGTTGGTCAAAAGTTCGTTGTGCGGCTGTAGTTGTCGCTACTGCTAACAACAGCTGGAAATGATTACCGGTGTAGGTAACTGAGAAGAAGGGAAAGCATCACTTACAGCTGCAAGAAGTAGAAATTTCATCATTCTTAATGAGAATGTTGAGACTGGTAAGTCTGCCTTACAATGATACTGTATGTTTTTATACCGTTAAAGCACACCAATTACATAAGCTGCGCTAATATAGAACCTTATTGAAGATTTGCTCTAACCATAAGTCATATTGCACAGCTACGTAATTATTGAAATACTGCTCAGTTTAGCATAAAATATCTTTAGAGTATTTTTGGCCACCATCAATTCATACGGTAAATGATCCAACAAAATTGTCTGCACAGCTTTTGTTTTGAAGGTGCTCGCGACCTTTATTGCTTGTGATCATAATCAGATGCCGGGGGGGGGGGAACCATATGCTACCGATAAGTAAGCTCTACCGCCGACAACTGGTACAAAGCAGTTGTCCGTAGTATACATGGCTGCGTGTTCTGTTGCAGATGTCTGCGTGGGACCACCTTCCTTCGGCGACATACAGTACCCAACCAATCAGTCGACAGAAATGTATAAGAAGATTCATCTTGACGAGCTGAACATCATGCTTTCTTCAGATTCTTTATGCATTCTGAGGGAAGTTATGAAGAAAAAACGAAAAAAACGCGCATCGTCAGTTTTTGCGTTTTCTGTCGAATAATTAGTGTGGGTACTGTATAATCCTCCACCCTCAGATGACCTGGGAAGATCTAAGTTCAGGTTCAGCAGAATAAGCGCACCGCGCTATGGGGTGAATAATTCAACCCAGTCAAATAATTTGTTCCGGCTATATGATAAAAACAAATGACTTTGTCTGTAATCTAGGCAATTTTACAATGTTATGCATCAAAGCACCGTTACGTGTAACTGGCTCCTGAACAAACTATCTCAAACAAGTACCGCTCAGTTGTGAAATTCTGTTTATTCGCTCTTTTCAGAAATTATACTGTTCTTTGATACATTCGTTTGAGCAATTGAAATCACTAACACAAACTCTTGTTTGAACAGAAAAGGTTCTAAATACAGATTACGGGCAGTGTTTGTGTGAGCAAAGCCCACGTAGGGATTCATATGGATTGATTCATATGACCTATGAAATATGGTCTTTAAGCCCTCTTCAATTGAAGCCGAATATGACCTTTGCAACCTCTCCAAATGTTTACCGTAAATCATTTTACTACCTTCAACTTTTGACGCGGGATTCAGATGTGTGTACATTTATCGATGAGATTTTTCTAGAACTGCTGAATCAGCCATTTTTTATAAGCACAAGCTGCTGATCTTCTATACTCCATTATTTCCAGTTGTAGATGTCCGCTAATAGACATGGGGCTCTAAACTTTTTCGTTATGTTCCTCTAACATCGAGCCTCAACTGCTGACAAAATGTGGACCTACAAATTGCTTTTCTTCCAGAATTATAAATGTAACAGAACTTTTGCTAGTGCCAGATATGCAAGCTGCACACCGGCTCAATCCACTTCCATATAATAATGATCGAAACCAAAACAATCCAAGCAGCAAGTCGAGGAGGAGCCACCCTTGGTAAGGGAAGGACACTTAGCTGGAGTAGCTGTACTGACGATATATGTTGGAGCTTTGCAACTAATTCAATGAAGTCACTAGCTTTTATCAAATGTGTGCTACATCTGATTCCAGCAAGCGCTAAACATGAAAATGATTTAGAATTTGGTAATCATGGGCAGTGCCTCCAGTTGTCCGTGAAACGCAAACCAGAACCTGAATTGTGTCACCTAAACATTGAATTATGAAGAATTGAACTAATTAGATGGTTAAGTGATGATCTCGGGATAGTTTTTGGACTAACAAGCTGGAGATAAGAGAAAAAGAGAACTCCTGTGAAAAATGGTACTCATCAGCCGTCAAACCTAAATAACCCAGAGAGGAGAAATACATATCTGCTATATTCTGAGGCACACTAAAGGATCAGACTAGGATTGACTAGAATATCACATAGATCAAACAAAGAAGGATTGAAGCGGCTGTACAAGTAGCTGTTCACGGATTGTCATGTTGCAAAGATGTGATGGTATTTTTTCCACTGTAATAAAATACATATTGTTTCCTCCTTCAATCTTCTCAACTCTGCTTTTCTCTAAACATGCTAAACGTTATGAGCTTGTGACGAGATTTGCACCGAAGAGCATGGGCTCTGTGATACAGTTCAGGCTCAGACAACTGACGGGAACTTCCGCAGCATTTTCGCAGCATTTCGCTGGGTCACCTGCGGAAATACAGCAAAGGTGCTAGGAACCGCTGAAACGAACTACGGAAATGTTGAAAAATCCGAGACTTCCGCAGCACTGTATTTGGGGTTCCGCCGCACTTTGCAGTTTTTGCTCCATGGGGTGCTGAGCCAAGTTCAAACTTCAAATGCAAATCTTTGAATAACAGCATCATTTGGGTGTAGCCCCAACGATGTGAGCGTCATGTGCGAGCGCATATCCAGTTCGGAAAAGAAGATAAAAGTTCATTTTTCTGTGCAAAAATTTCATAATTTGAGTAAGCGAACGTTGACAGTAATCGTAAAACTAACTTTCCTACAATAATGCGCAAGCCTTCCGATCGCCTATTTCTGTCATCTCAAACAATTCTCACAGTTGGAAGCAAAGTCATTGCTTTACTCCTTCAATTGATGAGCTGCGACTACAACAAGTTGTAATTTTTGCCGCATCCGGAGGAGTTAACTTCGCTTCGCATCGCCATACCTTCGCATCGTCATACCTTATTATAGACGATCAATCTGAAGCACTATTCGATGCGTTCCACCGAGGCACATCTTCTAATATCAGACGCATCTGTTCGTAAAGGACATGGAGGCAGCCCCCAGGCGTGCTTGATCATGCACACTGACGTAAAAAATTGAATTTGTCGTTAAATTTGACTACCAGATAAGAACTTAAACAGGTACCTCTCTACATATAAGAGATGCACCTTACGGGTTGAATCAAATGTGATGCCCTAGGATTCAGAACTCCTACTAAAGCAAGATATGGCAATGCGATTGAAAGTTCGTCGATTTGGAATCCACTGCTATTGTTTTTCACAAAATAGCGTCTTGAATTGTAAGGGACTAAATGCAAAATCTTTGCCTTCATTCAGTCATAGAATAGTATGGTATCTATAATATTAGGTTGGCTAATAAATAAGTTCGTTTTGACATGCAAATTCAAAGCTTCATAACATTTCACGTAACAGCTCTTCAGCTAACAAGGGAACCGTGTCGAGTCGAAGTGGCCTTTCCGGGTGAGACCCATACTGCTTTGAAGAGTACTAAGCGATGATTCCAAATCTGCCTTCCAAATCTGCCAAGCGCCTCTGGACGCCGAGTTATGACCATTTCTTCTGAACAAAAAATGAATGCAGAATTTAAGTAAAATTGATTGTTACAATCTTTCCAGCGCTCAAATAAAACAACGTTAAGTATTAGCATATTAAATAAAATGTATCCGTTACATGAACAGCTCTGATACTTGACACTAGACCATTTGAGCAAATTTGGGCGATTTTGCTTCAGTTTTGCGTTCAATTTTTTAACCTGAAAGACGAGCATAACTCAGCGTCCAGACGCGCTTGGCAGATTTGGAAAGCAGATTTGGAATCACCGATTAATGCTCTTCAAAGCAATATGGGTCTCATCTGGAAAGGCCACTTCGACTCGACACGGTTCCCTTGTAAGATTTTTTCGTAAGAAGATAGCCCTAAGCCTCTACTCAAAAATGTCAAATAGACAGGACTTCATGTTACCAAAAAATGACAGTTATAGCCTTATATGGTCAGACTTCTAAAAAATCGCTTTTTTGACTTTCCAGCTTTCGTTCTCAGCTTGCAATGAGTACACAGGCGAGTGATTTGGTGGCTGGATACATACAGCCTTTGGCTAGGTGGCGAACCACAATAGAGATTGTGAGCTGCTGTTTCCGAGTTTCTGCAGTCAAAATTGTGCAAATTTCCAGGTATTTGCTCGTAAAGGTCAAGTTTTGGGCATTCCAGATAACTCGAATTTGGCCATCTATGGCCATGCAATTGGTTGGAAATTCAAAAATTTGTTTTGTGGGTAGCGAATCTACACTTTACACCTGACTTCAGTTCGTTTTTCGGAGCGTGATTTTTCGGAATTTTGAGGAAAAAATCCGACCAATTTTCTTTCCTTTACCATTTCATTATCAGAAAAATTATTTTTGAGAAAAAAGAGTTAACCTTCCGATTCTCCTTGATTTGCTCTTTCCAATGGTACCACATGTACACACAAAAACTGATTTGTGACAATTCTGCAAACTGCTAAAAACGACCAAACTTATTTTTTAGCCAACTTAATAGTATTCTGGTTGGTATATACGCCTTTTTTGAAGTTGGTATAGAATCGATGGACCTACTTGGCTTGTGAACGGTTTGATACGCGAAAGCCTTTGACACTTGTACACTTTCGCACTGCGCATGTGAGTGTTATGGTATTATGCAAATACTTGTATGTTCTTTTTTGCAAATAAGCGTTCCGCAGATAGCTTGATAAAGGATCAATTTCTCTAATGGTCACTTTGACTGAAATATTTTAACTGTTAGTAGGAAGCTCAAGGGCCGGGCATACTTCAAGCGATTTCAATCGCGACGCGATTTAGCAATATTCCAGGTGTCTGTAACTCATTGTAAGCACATTATAAATGTACAGAAGATAGGGCATTTCATCAGTTTACGTAAGTTATACACACTATGCATGTGCAGTTTGCTGATGTTGGATCCGAAGACTTTTGGCGAGTTGCCAATTCGCGTCGCGACTGAAATCGCGTGAAGTATGCCCGGCCCTTTAGGGACCAGATACAGCGTGCTTCTTGCAAATACATATGATTACCGTGCATTGAACAGAAGTTCGCCGAAAATCTCGTCGCATAGCCATAGTCAAAGACTAAGATTTCATCGTTCCAGTTCCAGATGTAATAAACAACTCCATAAAACGATTCAAGGATCCAGGAACATTCCACGTAGTCTATAACGACGGTCAATTCGAAATCATACGTGTGCAGAGTCTTAGCTAAACGGTAC